CCCCAATGCTCTTCCCTGCCATGGCAGGGGGTCGGACTTGATGATCTACTCAGGTCCCTTCCGACCCTACAAACTATGAAACAGCAGCTCAGGAACGAGCCTTGCTTTGCCCTTCTCTTTCCAGCACCCATTCCGACTTTTGCAGTTAAAGTGTGAGCTAGAAAGGGAAGCTCTAAGGATAGGAACATCTCAGGGCTGGCACCAATGGAGCAATCCACAGAACAGCTGAGGCTGTATGGGAGATCAGTCAAGAGTTGCTTACAATAAAAGTTTTATTGGAAATTCTTTGAGTACATGTTGAAGACCATTGGAGACTATTTCCAAAACAATGCAGTTTAGGACCCTTCCCCTTCACCCATGTACCAGCTACCCTTGACAGTACAGGACTGAGTATTAAACAGTCAATGGCAGGCCATGGCATCAGCAGCTAGGTCCCCTCCTGCAGCAGAACTACTGTAGGCCAGTAACTTCTAATGCACTGATCAGACAGAGCCAATACTTACATTTACAGAAATAAGCATCTACCTCAGCCCCAAATAAATGCTTTATTGCTGTGGCTATCCAGCTCTACTCTGGCAACTCATGGGCAGATTTCCACTCTTGGCATTAAAGAAACATGGCTACTGCCCAGAACTTCTGCTCTGAGAGGTGTAAGATGTGACCTTGTCAAAAGTTGCATTCACATGACTGGGCATAAACACTTGGCCCTGGGGACTTTCTGAACAGAAATAGTGATGGCAGCTCATGGCTCACATTCTGTGGATACCACAGCATTGCAATGTGACAAGGAGGAGGAGGAAATACAAAGGCTGTGCTGCCTAGGTAGGACCCACCGCCAGAAAAGTTCACCCTCTTTTTTTCCTCGTTTATACAAGACCAGTAATATATGCTAGCAGTGCAGTAAGGTCTATGCAGTGCAGTAAGGTCTATGCAGTGTCAGTTCATGGAGCACAGCTTGCCCAGGCACAGCCTGTAAGTTAAAGGCCAGGGTGACTACCACAGTATGTCTTCAGGCAACTCATGTCTGCTATAAAGACTCAAACATTACATGCTGAGTAAGACTGAGTCAGGGGGGGTCTGGGGGGGGTCCAGACTCCATCATCAAATCACTGTGCGACTCTGGACACATCACTCAAGGCCCCAGCTTCTAGTTTCTGTATCCATATAAAGAGAATGCAGCTTGCTTCCCTCACATGCTGGCTGTAAGGATCAAGTATTTGCTAAGTGGTTTGGAACAGAAGTCCTCCAAGTCAGTTATTACTTAGCAGGGGAAGTGACACTCCCCTGAGCACTACCAGGAGTGACTAGAATATAACGGTCACAAGCTGGCAGAGGGTAGATTCAGACTTGACATCAGGAGGCGCTACTTCACTGTCAGGGCGGCTAGGATCTGGAACCAACTTCCAAGTGAAGTGGTGCTTCTTCCTACCCTGGGGGTCTTTAAGAGGAGGCTGGATGAACACCTTGCCAGGGTCATTTGGCCCCCCCAGTACTCTTTCCTGCCATGGCAGGGGAATGGACTTGATGATCTGCTCGGTTCCCTTCCGACCCTACCAACTATGAAACTATGACATTTCCATCTCTACCACTCCCAAGACTGGCCTTTTAGAATTGCTGTAGATAGAAGTTTCTCCATCTACAGTGCCTGTTTTGCAAAAAGTAATTTTAAATCTGAGTGGGAGGTAGTTCAGAAGTTGGATTAAGTGGGTGGATGGGTGGTCACACAAGAAGCAAGGTGATGAGTGATTACACTTTATATAGTAATGCTACTCCCACCACCCAGTGCTTTAGAGAAGTTGTTCTCAGCCTTTCCACCTGTTAATTGCCACAGGATGAGAGCAAAGCAATTTAGTTGTACAGCCTCCTGAACTAGAAGGCTAGTAGCTGCATCAGAGTGGTGCTATGTTGGCACAAGCAGGGCCATGCAGATACCCAGGCCAACTCTGCATGTTGCCTCCCAAAGCAGAAGCAGTACAGCTATGTTAACATGGCACTGCACCTAAGGCTAGCTCGGTTACTCAGCACCCCTGATCAGTCCATCCACTAAAGGCAGCTGTACTGTTTCCAGTCTGGAAGAGAGTGTGAACAAAGGAGCCTGGTGTCTCTGCATAACACTGCCTGGTGCTGTAAAAATATTTGGGGAGGTGGATGGAAAATACATAAGTCAGCCAACCTCCTCCCCACCCAGCTCTAGCCTTGTCACCAATTGAAATTATTGCTTTAGAGCTCACACATTGGTTCTGAAACTGCACAGCAAACACCTCTCAAATCAAGGTCTAATAAAAATCCATGTCAGCATACTATGAATTTGATTCAGGTTCTGAGCACGTGCTTTTGCTCCTGCAGTAGCCTGAGGGTGGCTGGCTAGAGAGAACATGTGGTGACATACATCATTCTCTGGCAACCCTCCTCTTCAACTTAAGAATACTGCCAAGCTCTGGAGGAAGCCACTGCCAGCCAGCCCTTGATCCAGAAGGCTGATTGCTCCACCTGCATTAGGAAGGATCCAAATAGTAGAAAGCAAACCCTAGCTCTCTCCAAAAGAAGTACCAAAGGGTAGCAAAGGGGAATTTGCAGTTATTCAGCCAAGTTACAAATGACCAAAGGGGAGAGCATTGCACAGTGCCCTACCTACTCTGCTTAGTGTCATTACACATCTCCTCCCTTCACATTGGACAAAGGACACGTAGCAGCCAGATCAACACAGAGCACTGCCAGCCAATCGTATAGACTTATGGTTAGCTCATTACAAAAATAAACTTTCTGCTAATCAAAAGTCATCTGATTAAAAACGAGTACCATAAACTTCCCAAAAGTGTGCTTTCATGAATAAGCTACCGTCTAAATGGCTGAACGACAGGAGTCCACTTTCCAAGCCTATTAGAACACAGCTTTTCAGAAAGTCCCTGACACACTATTGCACCAACATGAGCAGTTCATTATATACCAATGGGCCCTGACAGGGTGTCATGGAAATAAAGTCCCCAGACTAGAGTGCTGTATTAGACTAAATGAGTCTATCTCTGAAAATAAAAATCTCAGTATTTCCCAGCAAGGGGAGACCAGCATCATGGGACAGGGTTCCATGGCACGGTTGCTGTCTGCAGTGACACAGGGCAGAAGGACCTGCACAATTACACAAAAACATAACATTTTTTTAAATATAGGTTTCTTTAAAAGCAATAAATATTTCCTGTTTCTTAAGATCATCTATTAACCATAAAGCAGCAAGATTTGCAGGGGAAAGAGGAAAGAATCTTGGACTAAGACTCCTAATTACATAACCCTAAAGAAATAGGATTCCTAATCAGTATTTACAACTGTTTCAAGAGCGAAGACTCTGAATTCAGCGTATTGCCAGCTGCCACTGACAGGCCTGCCAGCGCGATCACCACCTGTGACCTCCGTATAGTGGAAGATTCAGTTCACACAAGAAAACGTGGAAAGGTAACATGGAAAGCACTTTCTCAGAGCTTCACACCTCTGCATCAGAGGGGCAAGCACAGCATGAGGTCTCAGGACAAAAGTCTGTGCAGACTCCATTCCTTGGAAGCAAAAGGTGAACCAACATGTTGGTGCAGCCATGTAGTTGGCACTACACAGGGCATGAGGCAGAAGGCAGTCTCACTCCCATGTATCCTCACTGCAATCCAGGCACTCACACTTAAGTCAAGAAGAAAGTCCAGCTAAGTCTGCTAACCTCACAGCCCTCTGAACTGAACACCAAGGCTTTCTGTGCTCCAATGTGACTGCATACCCAAGAAAAGAGATGCTCGCTTCTCCAGAGGATAAATCTTGGGAAATGGTGATGTAGAATTCTTTGGAGGAAGCTTTAGGGCAGCTTTCCATAAAACCATCTCTACACACTGAACAAAGACCGAAGGGGAAAGAGCTAGTACAATAGGTTTTCTTTTCTTTTGTTCCTGTTGTAATTACAGGTAAGAAATCAAATGCCAGAAGGAAAAGGGGGTCCAAAACTACTATGGAGACACCAACAATTGATCCTGGATCTGGTAATGAGGGAAGTGATCCAAATAAAGCCTAGTAGATGTAGAGAAAGAGACAAAAAGACACAAAAGGGATAGACAGACAGACATCTGTGGGCTGCATCCTTTAGGGTGCCCAAGAAGCAGGACATTGTTGTAGCTTCACTGCAAGGTCTCTACAAAGGCATCAAACTCTTTGACGTTTTTCTCATGGACTGCCAGCTTCTCTGGTAATGAGTCCTGTAAAGACAAAGAAAAGTCCAGGGTGAGACTCGCTCACAGCAGATGAACTGTCTACTCAATAGGAAGTTAAAACACAATGGAGACGGAAAGGGCAAAAGATACCTCTCCTAGAATATGAAGCAGATTTCAGCTGTGCTCTCTCATGCACAACTCCCAGCAGAAGCAGGCTACTGCTGACAGGAGACAGCAAGGGCTTTTAGTAGGTAGCAGCAGATAGCCCGTGTCTATGCCCTGTGCATTACCTTACGGCAGCTATGGTCGTTCTCATGTTAGCACTTAACTTTATGTCCCGTCCCATCCCCCCACCATGATCAATCATATCACTTGATACAAAAGCTGTGGGCCTCAAGCTCATCCAGGCAGCATTTTTATGGACCACTCTGGAAGTCTTGCCCAAATGAGGCCTGTAGACATGGACCCAGAAGGCTGTTAAACCTGCGGTGGTAGAAGCAGTATTCAGTTTTTGGATTTGAGACTGGCTGAGCTTTAGCTTGCTTCCCAGCCCAGATAACCTGCATTTGTGCTCAGCTGGGACAAAATGCACCTTTCAAAGCTGCCAAGGAGACTCAGTTGTTTCATGGAAGGATACAATCAACAGGAAACCTATTATAGCAAGGAATCCCTTCGGTAAGTGCCTGTCCATTTAGACAAGATACTGGCTTGTTCAAGGAGTGAGAAGAAAAGTAATACAGGAACCGTAAACCATAAGGAGGAGGGAGGAACCGGGAAACTATAGGCCAGTAGTCTCACCTCCATCCTTGGGAAAACTCTGGAAAAAATCATTAAGGATCATATTTGTGGGAGCCCACCAGGACAAATAATGCTGAAAGGAAATCAGTATGGATTCACTGCAGGTAGATCCTGCCTGACTAACCATGTTTCTTTTTAGTAGCCAGGTCACAAAATGCTTAGATGCAGGAGTCAAGGTAGATGTCACCTACCTAGACATTAAGAACGCCTTCAATACAGTATCTCATTCTGTTCTTGTAAATAAATTGATAGGCTGTGATGCAGATGATTACACAGTCAGGTGGGTGGCAAATTGGCTTACGGGGTCGCACCCAGAGAGTGGTGGTGGATGGGTTATTGACCTGGAAAGATTTGGGCAGTGGAGTCCTGCAAGGCTCGGTCCTTGGACCGGTGCTATTCAATGTTTTCATCAGTGACTTGGACAAGGGCGTGGAGAGCACCCTGTCCAAGTTTGCAGATGATACCAAATTATGGGGCAAAGTTAACACACCAGAGGGTAGGGAACGGATCCAGGTGGATCTGGACAGGCTGGAAAAACGGGCAGAATGAAACAGGATGCAGTTCAGCAAAGACAAGTGCAAAGTGCTGCACCTGGGCAAAAAGAACCACCAAAACACTTACAGGATCTCAGCAGCACAGCAGTGGAAAGGGGATTTGAAGTCATAAATGACTCCAAGATGAAAATGAGTTGTCAATATTACGAAGTGATCAACAAGGCTAACTGCACTTTATCATGCATTAGCAGATGCGTGATGAACAGGTCCAGGGAGGTGATGGTTCACCTCTATGCAGCACTGGTCAGGCCACAGTTGGAGTACTGCACCCAGGTTTTGGTGCCGCACTTCAAGAGGGATGTGGACAATCTTGAGAGGGTTCAGAGAAGGGCCACTCGTATGGTCAGAGGCTTGCAGGCAAGGCCCTACGAGGAGAGACTGAGGGACCTAGATCTCTTCAGCCTTCGCAAGAGAAGGCTAAGAAGTGATCTTGTGGCTGCCTATAAATTCATCAGGGGAGGGCGGCAGGGAATCGGAGATGCTCTTTTTACTAGAGGAACCTTGTCTGCCTATTTACTAGGGCACCCCTGGAGTAACTAGGAACTATGGCCACAAATTGACAGACAGCAGATTTGGGTTGGACATTAGAAAGAGCTTCTTTATGGTAAGGGTTGCCAGAATCCGGAATGGGCTTCCAAGGGAGGTGGTGCTCTCCCCTACCTTGGGGGTCTTCACAAGGGAACTGGACAAGCATCTAGCTGGGATCGTCTGACCCCAGTACTCTTTCCTGCCTAGGGCAGGGGGTCAGATTGGATGACCTACTGAGATCCCTTCCAACCCTAACATCTATGAATCTATAAATCAGAATCTCATTTTTCATACCAGATCCTCCGCCATGGACTGAGCCCCAATGTCAATGGAGAGGCTGCTGAGTTGAGGGGGGTTCTGAAACTCACGGTAGAATGTCCCCAGGTCCATTGGGAGAATGTCATCTTTTGAAAATGCTGGTTTCTAGAACAAGAGATAAAGACATCACTTCCCATTCAGAGAGCTCTGTCAGATAAGAGGCACCACCTGGTACCAGCAAATATCTCAACATTACAGCTACACTGCAGCAGGTTAAACAGTTGCACATTGGCTTCATCATCATCCCATGACAAAACCTAAATTCCTATCACCCTGACTACCTAAAGCAAAGCTTCTCCCTGGAATCCCTATTCTGCCTCAGGTGTGCTGCAAACAAAGACACCCCCCCCACCCTCCATGGAAATAATTTCTTCAAGTTGTTGGTTTACAAATACGTTTTTGTAAGTCTTGAGGGAAATCAGGAAATCCTGGCCCTTATTTGGCAGTATAACAGGCCCTTGTTCAGGGAAATTAATTTTGTTTTTGCTGACCATACCACCACCACTTGAAGCCCACCCAAATACAGATGCCCTACAAAAGTGCTAGGCTGGGCTTATAAAGGACAACAGGGACTTACAAAATCAACCATGACAAAATCATCATGTGTGTTCCCAGTGCTGTTGCCACTGGAGCCCTCTGAATGTAAGCTGCCCAGTAGAGGAGACTCAGTTTCTGGGGAGTCGGGAGGATTCACCTGCCCAAGAAAAGCAGAGAGGATTTAGTCCTAGATCATGTTACCAAATCCATCTCCGTATAATGATGCCATGGGAGACAGCACAGTGACAATTACAAGGGCCTGTAGTAGGCACAGGGGCTCTAAATATAAATCTGTTTCCATGTCATGAGAGCCTAAGCTCCAGCAGAGACAGAGACTTTAGAATCCGAACTGATGTGAGCTGCTGGTACTTTGATTATAAAATGAAGTGCGTGCAAAGCTAAGGTCAAGAAGAACATATCTGTATTGCATGAGTCATTCTTTAAAAACAGGGATCAGAGGTCTAAGTTCTTACCATGGGGTCGTTATCCTCCAGCTCAATGTTCTTGGGAGAAAACATGGCAAAAGGAATGTCTAAGTTGGCCATGGTCACCTGGGGAGATTTAACAGACAGAACCTCAGCACCTCATAAAGATTCTGCCTACCTAGCATATCGCATGTCATTGCAAGTCTTTGTCAGGGTTTGCTAAACTTTGCTTAAAGGTCATATTAGCAACTTGGCAGAAAGATCTAAGAACTGCACCAACTGCTGTAAAATAGACTAAATTCCAGTCAGCTGCTTCTCTAAGACTGAAGTGTGACCTTTAGAGTTGTCATGGCATATATAATACCTGCATCAGACAGGCTAGAGTTAATGAACTACAACGGGCTCAAGCAGCCCCTCTCCATCACACCTACTGGAGATATCAAGCCTGAAAGAAAGGTCAAACAGGTGGAAATGGCCCAGTTGGTACCATTCCTAGCAGTGTGACAGATCTTCAATCTGTAGTCTCCAGGGAAGCCTGGCCTGAGGAAACAAATTTGTGCTGTTTGTTTCTCTGGAAGGGGAAAACCCCTGCAGGACACCACTGGAAAACTAGGTCTCATCTATCTGGACCTGTGAAACTGATAACACTAAGGACTGGAGGCTGGGTTAGCTCAAGGCTCTGTGACTTCCTCTGGGAAACCAAGTCTTTGATAGAAATCTACATGTCTTAGCACACAATAAGCATGTCATGTAAGGACCTTGAGTCACTGTAAGTTTGTTCTCATTCCCTGAGTTTGTCCCAGTAATTCTGTGCTTTGTCTCTTCTGTACAGGAACAAAAGTGAGCAGTACTTCATGTGTTTGAGAATGATTGCTGCCAGTTACCTGATTAATAGGTTTGTTGACAAAGGCCCCCACCTTCCGGACAAAGATGGTCTCCAAGATATCATGTGGGGAGCCACTCTTCGCTTCACTGCTGTTTGATACTGTCTCTGTGTCCTCACTGGGGGAGAAGTAAGAAGGGTTGACACGTCATTCCTCAAACATGATAGATAAAAAAAACCATACACTTTTTCACAGAACTCCTTTGGTTTCTTTTTTGAGTCCCCTTTTTAGTGTTGGGTGGACACAAAACCTAAAACATCTCTGCCTTTGTTGGACAAAGTCTTCCTATTCAGCTACCTGTATCAAATGGAGACTAAAGCTGTGGAGCAAGTTTCAATTTAACACTGGGAAAACACCATCCTATGTAATAGGACCAAACCCCTCAGTCTTATAGCAGCACAAGATTGCTGGGGGAGGGAAAGGATATTTCATAAGTTGCAATGAAACCTAAAGCATTCTTGTCAATCATAATCAATCACTCCTTTCAGTAATTGAGCAGTCTTGGATGTCTTACTTGGTAGGAGATGTAGTTAGGAATTGGAATGCATTCAGTGTCCCAGGCCACTCCAATATATTATAGCAATCAATATGATTAATTCACTGTGTGGTTACTATTCACTCCTGTGACCTGATTTTTCACAAGTAATTAGAGCCTTTAACAAAAAAAATTTCTGGTTTTCAGTCTTCTGGCAGGCTATCGCTATGTGAGCAAGACTGATTAGCCAACGAGTATAGGAGGGAGCTGTGAAGGAAGCATCCTCAGTCTGCCTCTCCTCCGTAAGGAGACAGCCCAACTCCCTCCATCTCCTCTGCACACTGCCTGGTTGCTGTGGCAACCAAGCCTGGTCACCTAAGGGGAGCTGGGCCGTAGGGATCCTTTGTCCTAGTTCCCACCAAGATACCTGTATGACCCTGCTCCCCCCGCCCCAACTTGAGGATGCCGATGACTGTTAAAAGGATTGGTCTGCATCATGTAGCCCCTGTTTCTGGCTGGGACGTAGTGATGGGGTCACAAACATTTTAAAAAGGGGTCATTCCATTTTGGGACAGGTCAGACATCGTATGGGATTCTGAAGCAAGCAAAAGGCCTCCAGAGCTTCATCAGTCTCTGGATGAACTTGTAACTTACCTGAAATTTAGCCAGTAATTTAGGATGAAGTAATCTAGACGCGTATCAAAAGGCCAAGAAACCTATTCTATTTTGCTCAAGGTGTTTTTTTTTTCCTTTTGATATTTCTCTGTCTTATGCCCTTTCCCTAGGCTCTCCCTCTCTGATGATCAATAAAGCTATCTGTTATAGCACTCCTTGCTGTAAATGCTTATGAGGGTGAGACTAGCCTTTAAAGCCCCCTTCACTCAGCTGGCTAAGGTGGGTGTGGTTTTTTACTTTCCTCCTGTACAGGAGGCTACTTGTGAATGCTTCAGGCTAAAAGAAGCACCCCAAAATACCATGGTGGGCTAAGCACCCCCAAGGTCTGCACGGTCCGTGTACCCCGAGCTGCACAGAGCCCTAACAAAGACCAAGGCCCAGGTCATGGCAGTGATTACCCCAGGCTTGTGGGCGTGCTCCTGGAAGGGGGTCAGCCGGACAGAGGCATCTCAGGAGAGGCACCTGAAGCCTGGATTTTGATTGGGTGCAGTGAGGCAGGTGGCTCAGCACAGGACTGGTCTGCCACAGGAGCAACAGTGCAATTTTTTCTACTAAGCAGAATAGTTCATTAAGAAGTCTTATAACAAATAGCTTAAGACCAGGAGAAAAGATGGAATCACAGGAGACATTTGACAAGAGAGGCATGAAGAAACATTTAAAAATAAGCAGGATTTCATTGGCTCACATGGATGTGACTTTGTGCAATTTAAAGCTGCATTGTTTCCTTCTTGTTAGATAAGGACTCTTGTACCTGACGTTTATTCTTAACAGTTGAAAAGACTTGTCTGATGCCTCTAGCAAGTCAAACAAAGCTTCTTTGGAAAGTCCAAAACTCACTGTTGAAGCTACCCTGTTGCTCTTCACAATTAGCAAGAATGACACAGCACTTGTCTCAGCACTAGAGTATAACATAAGGTACCCTGATATTTTGAGCAGGGCCAAAAAGTGTAAGCAGATTAACAGATCAGTGTTTATGGCTTTTGAGCTGAGGGAAACTAAAAAACTGACAGTTGCTGGCTGGTCATTCCACAGTTAAATCCAACTTTAAAAACTGCCTTTTGAATGCCTAAAAGTTAATTTTTAAATGTTTCTACTTCATACAGGAATAGATAAGCTATTAACATGCTGGACTGCCTACCAAGACCTACCTACTGGAAGGTGTAGCTGCTGAGTAGTGGGCTCCATCCAAAGGGGTGCACATTGCCATCCTCTCTTGGTCAGCTTGAGCAGCATGTGGTGGCTGGCTAGGAACCAGGGGCACCCCACCCTCCTTCCCTGGAACAATCAACTGAGGTGGAAAAGAATGAGCAAGTTAGCAATATCAAGTG